GGCTCAGCTCACCAGTGCCACCGTACGCCAGAGGGTTATTTTCAGTAAAGACACACCAAATCACGCTTTTTAGGGTTTTTCTCTGTCCAGAGAGCCTCCTCCTGCACGGTATTCTCAATTTCTGTACTACAGAAAAGCCAGGGCATGGTTAAGACCCCCCGAGAAAAGGGCTAAACTGTGGAACTAAAATGTGATGCTTTACACTGCTTTGAAGCAATTCAGTGAACTGGCTGGAAAAGACATTAACTCTCACTGTGGTGTTCATCCCCCTGATTTTCTGGTGAAGCCAGTGTTCCAGGTTCTTCCCTCTGTCCAGAGCCAGGAGCAGCCCCCAACACACACCTGACCCCCAGCTCAACACCCACTGCCAAAGTACATTAACCACTTAAAATAAAGCACATTTACTTAAAAGACATGCTGCAAATAAAAGAAACACTTGCAGAATCTCACATGCTACAACAAACAGGTTTATGTATTTAATAAGTAAATATATACAAGCAGATCTTCCACATAATACTTGTCCTGCTGACCTGGAATGTTCCTGGAGAGTTGGTGAAATAGAAAGCAGCTCAATAAAGAGGTATAAAATACAAAGGTAACACCTTTAAAAGGACAGAGTTGGTTAGAGGGAAGAGTTTTCCTTTCATCAGATGGAAATATGTATTACAATCTTGCAGCACATGTACATAGTTATTTCTGCACAAGTAAATTCAAGTGGTTCTAAGTGTCAAGGAACCCAAACCCACAGCTCCCAGGAACCAGTGCAGCTCTAATTCAGTACCTGGTCAAGGACATTAAAAACTCCTGGAAAGAAGGATGACATAGAGTCTCTGTTGCCAAGCAATATAGAGGGAATTTCTCTCAGACTCTATAACCACTGCCCACTACCCTGCAGAGCTGCCCTTGCCAGCTCACAGAACAGCTTTGAGTCAAATCCCCTACACAGCTACAAGGTCTCTGCAGCTGAATACAGAAGTTTCCACTAGTGTGGAAAGCCCCTCAGTTGTAGAGACTGCTCCCACCCTTTACATCTGCTGATCCTGTTTTTACCTGCCAGAAGTTCCAATTGCCCAAGTCTGGATTTTCCCTTCATGTGAAACACCTAAAAGCTGGCCTTTGGAAGCACATTTCATCTCATACACCAAGGCAGACTCGGTTGAACACAGTTTGCTGAGTAAAAGATGCTTTTACTCTTAACTTAAGATAATAAATGGGACAAAAGAGAGCTCAAGAAAACATGAAGGAGTTGACACCACTAGTTCAAGTAAGAAGCTTATCTTCTCTTTATTGTTATGCTTCTGTTGTCCCCTACCACAAGGAGGGGAAAAAAACAACACAAAACTCAACCGTTTTCCTAAGGCCCTTCACTAAGTTTAGGTTTCACATCACTAAAAACAACAACTCAAGTTATTTCAAAATTTCCCCCTCAAAAGGAAAAAAGATGATACCTCATGGGTCTATTACACCGTGGGTATGACACACAGGCTTCATATGCACATACACTTTGACTACTACCATATCCAAATAAATCTTCTAGAAAATAAAAGTTTGCTCTGACACTTATTCAACCTTCTCCCTTGCTTACTCCTTATAGAATGCAAAAATAAAATTAGAAAAAACCCAACACACCCAGCTCACTTTAGAAACCACAACACTGGTTTGGGAAAGGGGATTTGCATCTTCAACTCTTTCTCGTGTATGCAAGCAATCCCATAAGAGAAATGGTTGTAGAAATCTCCAACTTACTTGGCAGGACAGGACAGCTTAGGATAAGCACAGGCTTCTGCTTACTCACCTACATCTTTTGCTTGAATCCATTCCCAGGGAATACTGCAATTTCCCACCTCCTGCTCAGGGAGACCAGCACGGAGCCCTCAGAAACCAAGGAAAGGAAAGAGCTGCTACCCTAAAATAGGATGAGACACAGGTGCCCCAACAAGGGGCAGATGGGCAATTTGTTTAATGCAATTGCCCCACAGACACTGTGATTGCAAAGTTTATCCACATGACTTCTCTGAAGAACACTGAGACACTCAAGTTATACCAGCTGAGGAAATCTAGCGGCACCTGAAAGCCATCACAAGAGATACAGCAGGAAATTAAATTAAGGTAGAGCTAAGCATGACAAGAAAAAGGAGAGAAAACCAAGTGAAGCAGAAAATAAGTTGGTTTAAAGCCATGTCATTTCAATGGGTTCTCCTAAAGCTTCTTTGGAAAGTTGGGATGAGAGATCTGTATCCTGCTAAAACAAGTTTATCAGTTCCAAAGAAGTTACTTGCTCAGGTGCAGCATCCCAGGTCTCCCAGGACTATTAATGATGCCATAATTGCTCTTCACAGTTTGCAATAAAGCCAGAATGGGACGCCCCCACCTAGGCATACTGGGAATCTTTCCTGGAACAGCTGCAGGTACAATTTCTTATCAGCAGTGTCCTTATTGGCTATGATAGAAAAAATAAGGAAATACATCACTGTCAGGCTGTTTGTTTGTTTTTAATTTAAGTTCTATATTGAGCTGCTTTTATAGAGCTAGGTCTGTACAATGGGTTCCACTTTCAAATAAAATTATAAAAAATCAAATAGTAAGTGTGTAGAGCTTTATGCCATAACTATGTAAGGAGCTCAGTTTAATCTTGTTTAGCATATAGGCTTGAGTTCAGGGAAAAATAGAGCCACAAAAAGTGGAGGAGTGTATGGAAAATGCTCACAGCCTCTTTCTAGGGCAGTTGGCTCCATGTTTACCCTTCCTTAAAATAGCCACACGTATTTTTTATTTTTTTTTCAACGAGTGTCTGTAGCACTTGAAGTGAGAGATTTACTGAGCTGCAGAATGGGGATGGATAGAATGGGGTGATCAGCTACAGATGGACCCTGGCCAAAATAAATAAGTGGCTTAAGACTAAGTGGATCATAACTAATTCCCTCAAGGAACCCGGAAAAACTTTAATGCAGAAGAGCTCTCTGCTGCACCACAGAGCTGGAGCGGAGGGGGCACAAAGTAGCCAAAACGGAGCTGCTTAAGTTGCTCCTAAATAAAACCCCTATTTTATTAAGAGCCACAGGATAAATATCAGTAGGGCCCATACGGCATGAAAACAGGGAATAATGTCACAGGGAGATTTTAAATATGTTTATTTCAGTGTGACAGAGGCTGCTAGAAAAGGCTCAAAAACTACTGCTGCTCTCCTGCGAGCTTTAATAATGATTTTTTTTTGTGGCTTGTTTTGGGGTTTTTGTTTAAATTTCCAACAGTGGAATTAAAGAAAAAAATAAAAGCAAAAACTGAGAAAATTTAATGAAGTGGGAAATTAAGTGCAAATCTTTCTTAATAAATGAACCGTAGGGGTTTTTTTCATTATATTAAACATTAATTTTGTTTGCTGCCTAGTACTTTGAATGAAATCCAAGCTCTGCTATCCTTTCCTATGACAGTGGTATGGCCATAGTTTGTTAGTCCATGACAGCGATGAAATATTCACTTACCATCTTGGTGAGTGTGAGAATAGCAATTGTAATAATTACATAAAAACATTCCAAACAATTGTCTCTTTGTCAGCAGCAAAGTGAATGTGAATTCAAGAGAATATGGGGAACATTTCTGCTTTGCCACCTAATATATTCTTGTACCAAATAAAACTATCAATAAATTGTAAATCTGGATAAAATTAACAGCCCTGTTGCCCAGGCCAAATCCCAAGTTTCTGATCATTTTACTTCTCTCTTTTCTGTCTTGCCAAAAAGATAAGAAACATTGGCACAAAAGAAAAATTATTGCTTGGACTGTTCTCCCAGTGAATCTGGTTCCTATAAAAGCAGCTTGGAGAGAAGAGTCCAGTTAAGTAAACAAGCAGCATCAAAATAGCTTTAGAAATAAAATGGTAGTAATTTATTAAGTTTCTTATTAATTACTTGCCAAATTTAAACTGTTAAATCCAGATAGCAGATGAGTTTAAGGTGATGTGTGACATATACATGTGGGATTAAATTAATATAAATTATCTCACTGTTGGTGTGATGAGATCTCCACAATCACATTGTTGTTCACTCACCTCAGTGACATTAACTAATTACTAATCTATTTTGCATTGCACTGAGGAATGATTAATAAAGTAACCAAACCACTGTCCCCTGAGTGACATTCTGATGCAATCTGAGCATGTAAGAGCACACAAAGTTTGTGATAAATGAAATCTATGCTCTAGCCTTCTTGTAGAAGCCAAGTGTTCCTGGCATAAAGGGGTGTTTTGGGGTTATTTTTGGTTGGGTTTTTTTTTTTTTTTCTTTTTTTAGTTGGTTGGTTTGGGGGTTTTTTGTTTGCTTGGGGGGGGTTGTTAGTTTTGTTTTGTTGGTCTTTTTTGTTTGGCTTGGTTTTTTTTGTTTTTTGTTTTTTCAGTGCTTTTTTTGTGGGTGCATTACAGAGCAAGGTCTGTGAGGTAAATTCATTCCAAATGCAAGTATTTTTCCCCTCATGAATTTAAGCCGGTGTCTGGGCCTGCCCCTCAGGAAGGGTGGGGAGCTTTTGGGGGTAACGTTACCGACTCTCCCGGGCGCCACCTGGGCTCCTGAGGCGGCAGCGGCGGGAAGAGGCGGCAGCCCGGTGCAGGTGTTCTCTTCCTCGGTCCGAGGCCCCGTTCGAGAGGGTTTTCCTCAGATTCCAGCCCAGTGTGGCTCCAAGGCCGCCTCAGGCGCCACCTCGCACCTTTTTCTGCGGCTTTTTCCCTCAGGATTGGCGGGTGGCGGAGCACCCGCATTCGCGCGCTCTGCGCCGCCTGACCCTCCTCAGCCGCTATAGCGCCCGTACGGAACAGAAACCGGCGCGGCGGCGCCTTAAGCCAATCCGCTTCGCTCTTACTGCGCGGCGCCGCTTCCCCGAGCCAATCGCACGGCCGCCCTTTCCTGCAGCGGGCGCTAGGGCGGCCGCCACGAGCTGCGGCCGCGCCGCGCTGGGCGCGCTGTCCCGGGATGGCGGCGGGGCCGCGGCGCGGTGGCGGCGGGTCCTGCCCCCGGGCCGCCCTGCCCTGCCCTGGGTGCCCGCCCGCGGAGCCGCGGTGGGGCCCAAGGCCGGGTCCGGGCGGGCCGTGACGGTGGAGGTGGGCGGCAGGTGAGGGACTCTGAGGGGAGTGGGGGGGGCGGCAGGGCAGAGCGCTGTCCCGGCTGGAGAGTAAAGCAAACGTGAAGAAAAACTGGTGCAAAACGCGGAATGTGTCGAGTTTATCCTCAGTTGGGACGTTCTTTGATGTCTGATCTTGGTGTGCGGCCAAGCCTAGTCAGCAAGAAGGGAGACCAGAGCAGTGCAATCAGTCTCGTCGTCGCTTAGTCAGGGGCATCCGGGAGCTAACGAGCCCTAAGGATGTAAAAAATCAAGATGCTGATGGATGTCTGTGTGTACACTGCCAATTTAGTAAAATATTCGAGGCCACCAAGTTGATCAGAGGGATGGAAACCTCTCCGGTGAGGAAAGGTTGAGAGAATTGGGATTATTCGGCCTGGAGAAGAAAAGCTTTGGAGTGACCTAATTGTGGCCTTCCAGGACCTGAAGGGAGCTGCCTAGAGAGATGGAGAGACTTTATGACAGTGTGGAGGACAAGGGGGAATTGGTTAAAATTGAAAGACATTAAGTTTAGATGGGATAGTAGGGAAAAAAGTCTTCCTGTGAGATTCTGGCCCAGATTGCCCAGAGAAGCTGAGGCTGCCCCATCCCTGGAAGTGTTTAAAGCCAGGTTGGATGGGGCTTGGAGTAACCTGGGATAGTGGAGGAGTGGAACTCAATGATCTTCAGGATCCCTTCCCACCCAAACCGTTCTGTGAGTCTTTAGCTGAACTATGTTCATTATAACAGTAAAAATCACACCTACAGGTTATAAAAGCCTTGCCTAGGTGGTTCCCCTGAGCACGTGAACAAGTTACCTGGGATAATTTGTACAGAAATTACTAACTAATCGTATCAGGGGCTGTGCTTGGGAAGGGACCAGCTCTGGATTTCTATGTGTAAATAATGACATGGAAAGTCAGGAGGGTGTGCTGGTCTTGTGCAGTAGCACTGAGCACCCAGCACAGCTCTGGAATAAATAATCCATATCTCACTCTCGAGTGTGTCATCGCTGCTTTGTTGATCTCCATTCTCTGCCATGAAGGAGAGAATATTCTGCAGCTGTGGTGGGATGCAAGCAGCTCCCCTTGCCTGTGAGGATGTTTTCCACTGGCTAAAGCCCAGCTGGAAAAGGGGGTGATTCATCTTTGCCTCCAAGGCATGGATGTAACTCCTGGGGATAGCTGATGTGCTTCAAGGCTTTGCTTTAAGGTAAAGGAGACAGGACACTTGAGGCTAAAGCCTTGAAATTTAAGGGGTTTTGGTCACTTTTGTTCAAAGAGTTTCAGTTTTTGTATCTAAGGAGAATTTTTGTATCTCTTATGAAGCATAGCCTTTATTCTGTGCAGTTGGGGCTACAGATGAATGCAGAAATTGCTGGAAAACATCCATGAATTCAACATAAACTCATGTAACAGGTTGTTTCTTTCCTTTAGAAAGATGGAGCTGTCTTCTGGAAAACTTGCAAAGTTTGCTGATGGATCTGCTGTTGTTCAGGTAAAAACAAAAAATTGTCAAAATTTGTGCAGCTTCAAAATTCCTGTCTTAAAAGTCGTTGGGCATCAGAGGCTGTGGGATATAGATCCTCAAGGGGCAATTTAATCTCTAATGAAGGGCCAGCTGTATTTTATAGGAAAAAAATTGTGTTTGAAAAGCAGTGGTGTGAAGCACAGATTTATGTGGTGGTTTTCTGCAGAGTATAATTCTTAAGAATGACTGGTTTGGGAATAAGTTTAAAACATTGGAAGTTATTTTCTTTTCAGATAACTTCAGTGTTTACCTGTTTTTCATAACCCAGCTAGGTGACACAGCAGTGATGGTCACAGCAGTCAGCAAAACCAAGCCCTCTCCATCTCAGTTTATGCCATTAGTGGTAAGTACTGAAGACAGAATTAGTTTTGTGTTAATCAGTGGTCAGCTTAGCAGTCGCAGTCCTTAAAGAGTGGAGTTCAGGATGAGGGGAGAGTGAGGAATCCAAACAGTAGATGAGAGACCCTGGACTTCAGAATTGCAGTTGGTGATAAAATCCAGGATCCCTGTGTGGGTGAGGGATGAGCCTTGGATGTTGTGTGCCTTGGCTTTAGTGAGGTTTCCTCAAAGCCAATGTGAACTTTGCCACAACACCCAAGCCCAGATGTGGTGGTTTGGTTGTGTGGAAAACTGGTTGGATTGTGAGGCTGGAAGGACTGGCTGGGATTTTTCAGGGTGGGAAGTAGATAATTGGGGTTGGAACTGGATGATCCCTGGGGGTCCCCTCTGAGGGTTTCTGTGGCTCTGCAGTAAATAATCAGTTGTCATTAATAATCCCTGAATTGTCTTTGAAAGGTTGACTACCGACAGAAAGCTGCTGCAGCAGGAAGAATTCCTACAAACTATCTAAGAAGAGAGCTTGGTTCCACTGACAAAGAAATTCTTACAAGCAGAGTAATAGGTAGGCCAAAACATTTTATTTACAATGGATTTTAAAAATGTTGTAATTTTCTCATGAGTGTTGGAAAACAATAGTAACTTATAACTACAGTTTGCAGAGTAGTTTCTGTAGTAATGCCAGAAAACAAACTTCTAATTTATTATTTTTCATACAATTGAAATTTTAAGGTTATATATGTCATGCTAAATATCTTAATATCTTGCTGGGTTCTCTGCCTTCTCTTTTTTTTCCTTTCTTTATTCCTTTTTTTTCTTTTTTTTTCCTTTTTTTCCCCTTTTTTTTTTTAAAAAAAAAAGCAACCAATTTTGTCAGTTTTTTGTGGAGTGGTTGCAAGACAAACTGAATGTTAATTACTGAAACCAAACTTCTTAGAGTTTGATTATTTCCTTTGCAGATCGGTCTATCAGACCACTCTTCCCTGCAGGCTACTTTTATGATACACAGGTAGGTCATGCTACCTTCAAAACAGAAAACTTGGATATAGCCAAAGAAAATTTCATTATACAGGCCCTGTTTTAAGAAAAAAGCTATTTTTGTTAACATCAAGGAGGGGTTTGCACTTCACAAACAAGTGTAATGTTAATTAGTCTCATTGTCTTAAATTATTACATCCTACTTTCCAAATTTTGTTGTCAAGATACAGGAACAAAATTAGAATTTCCTCTGTACAAGAGAGGAAAGTTGCTAATAGTAAATACTTTATATATGATGTGATACAATATTATCCATTTGTGGGGGTTTATTTTCAGGTTCCTATTTTAAATACCTGAAAAAATGTCCATGTGCAGCGTAGGCTTGTGTAGATATGTGGAATGTGGGGGGTTTTTTGTGTCCTTAGCTTTGTGTTGACAGCTAATAAAAATGTATAGGTCAAAATTATTTATTGTCTTTTATCTTATGCCAGATCCTTTGTAATCTTTTAGCAGTAGATGGTGTCAATGATCCTGATGTTCTGGCGATTAATGGAGGTAAGAGGGCTGTGAGAAATTGGTGCTTCGGTGGGATTTAATGAGATCTGTTTTTTTTCTAATCCAGATTTTTGTCTTCCTTTCAGCTTCTGCAGCACTTGCCTTGTCTGATATCCCCTGGAATGGTCCTATTGGTAAGGAAACATTTTGAAATTATGGGTGATTTTAATGTAATGGAAGATTTGGACCACAGGTGGTACTTTGCTTTTTTAACTAGAAGCTGAATCTAAACATTAATTTCAAGCATTGGAAATAATTTCACAATGGGTAGGATTATTGCACTTCAAAGGATTATTTCTTCTGGACTAAATGCACTTCTGGGAGGAATTACAATACAGAAATAGTGTACTATAGAGATCAATAAATTAATTTTCTCTTAAGAGAAATATATGAATAGAAAAGCATTGTTTGGAAAATAGCTGCTTCAGAATACTTTTCCTCAAGGAGCTCAAAAAGAGATTTATTTCACTGTGAATATTTTCTCTGAAAAGATCTACCCAAGGACAAATATTGAACAAGTATCTTCCTTTCAGCTGCCTTTTTTTTTTCTAGAAAACATGTGCTGAAGTGACAAAAAACTCCCAGTGCACTCACAGCATTGTGTGTAATACTACTTGGTGTTATTTGCCCTACCCAGTAATAGTACCCAAAAGAAAAATAGACTAGGTAATTTTGTCTTCTAGTTTTGTTCTTAATATCCAGTCAACGTTTTGATATTTTAGAATTAGTCTGTAGCTTTAATTATTGTTAACAGCTGTGTAACTTTCAAAGTGAAGTGTTGCCTTAAAGAACTTCCTTATTACAATAATGACTTTCAGGAGTTTCTCTGCAGGTGCAGTGAGGGTAGGGCTGGTGGATGGAGAGACTGTTATCAATCCAACTCGAAAAGAGATGGCCTCTAGTGCTCTAAATTTAGTTGTTGCTGGAGCTCCACAAAGCCAAGTTGGTAAGCAAGTTCATTGTTGTCTGTTGAGGGCTTGGAAATCTTTGCAGATGTTTTCCTTTTCTTCAAAATGTGTATTTTTATATAATAGAAGGAGCAAACAACAGTGATAGGCAACTTTTGGTTAAGTAATTAGATTCACTCATATTTATGCAGTTTAATGTTCATCTGTATTTCCTCAGTTGAGTTAGATTGCTATTGAACAATAAAACAGGAATTGACTGAATTTTTCTCTTTCCATTGGCAGTTATGTTGGAAGCAACCGCTGAGAACATCTTGCAGCAAGACTTCTGCCATGCCATCAAAGTGGGGGTGAAGCAGACCCAGCAGATCATCCAGGGCATTCAGCAGCTGGTGAAGGAGCAGGGCGTGGTCAAGAGAACTGTCCAGAAATTATTTATTGCTCCTGAAGAAATTGTGGAACTTGCAAAGAAGTAAGTTCACAATAAATAATGCAGATGGAGGAATGTTTATAAATACCAGTCTGCTGCTTTCACCAGACTGGTATTTCATTAAATACTTTTCAAATATTTAGTTGTCAAAAAAAAAACCCTAATTATAGAAAGTAGTTTTTTAGCTTTGTTTTCAAAAAATCTTCCTTTTCTCCTTAAAGACTTGCTTCTAACAAGATCTATGCAGTGTTCACAGATTCAAGCCATGATAAAGTAAGTAATCAATCATTATATAATTTTTCTTTAAATTAATATCCTAATGAAACTGTAACAGGATTGAGTACTTTAAACTTTTAGCTCTAAGCTAAAAGGTCCCTGGAGGTGCTTTAAGGAAAGACTGGATGTGCCACGGTCTGGTTGACAAGCTGGTGATCACAGGTTGGAATTGATGATCTCAGAGGTCTTTTCCAGCCTCAGTGATACTGTAATTTAATCTTGTCTCCTTCTCTGAATCTATTTGCAATAGTAATAATAAATTGTTCTCTTAAGTTCTTACCTACCAGAATATTAGTTTGCATTATGTGGAGGTGGAAACTCACTTTTCCCAAGGAGTCACAAGGAAAAGATGAGGGGAAATGGTTGCAGGTTACTCCTGAGAGGTTCTGATTGGGCACAAGAGCAATGTTCTCCTTGGGAAAAATTACCAGTCACTGGAATAACCTCCCCAGGGAAGTGGTGGACTCCCCAGTGTGGGACATTTCTGGGATTCAGATGGGGAGGGTGCTGGGCCATCCTGTCTAGACTGTGCTTCTGCCAAGAAAGGTTGGACTACACAACCCTTGAGGTCTCTTCCAACCTGATGATTGATTTTTGAATTTGTCTGACAGTTCTGTTTCTTACTCCTTAAATTTTTGCAGATCTTTAAACCAGACACAGCCCTAAATCTCTGTTGTTGTTTGGCCCTGTAGAGTTAACTGGTGCAAATCCTGTGTTCTAGATTTCAAGAGATGAGGCAATCAACAAAATAAGGCTCGAAACAGAAGAACATCTGAAAGGTATTATTTTGTGTTAATATTTAGAGAATGCTTCAATGGAGATAGCACGGCTTGGAGTTGGAGTGTGCTCTTTGTTGGAAGCTATTTTAGTAAGAGTTCAATAAAATTAATTTCCCAACTTCAGATGCAATTTCTTTTCTATACCCAGAAAAATTTCCGGAGGCTGAGCCTTACGAAATCATGGAATCTTTCAATGTGGTTTCAAAGGATATTTTTAGAAATCTTGTGCTAAGTGAATATAGAAGGTGGGTGTGTCAAACTCCTACTGATAATATTTCTGTCAGCTTTTAATCCAAGACTGTACTTGAACTGATCTCTTAATTTCTCTTTGTCACTTCAGGTGTGATGGGAGAGATTTGACTTCCCTCAGAGACATTAAATGTGAAGTGAACATGTTCAAAATGCTTCATGGATCAGCCTTATTTCAAAGAGGTCAAACACAGGTAGTGTCACTTAAACATCAGAAATGATCAGTGAATTACCAAGAACTGAAAGATTTGGGTCTTTCATTTAAATGCCAGGTTTCCTTTTTTTTTCACATTTAAATAGCAACAAGCAGAAATGGTGTGTAGGTTGGTAAGTACATTGGTGTGTAGGGCTCTGCTAAATTGTGCATGTCATGAGAAATCTTTTAAAAGCAGCTTCATTCTTAACCTGGACTAAATAGGGAAATTTTACCCAAAAAATTGCAATAATGAGAGGATTTTTTTCCTCTTCTTTGCCAGAAGTGTCAGCTGTTGGGTGGATTGAATTAAAATCATACTGGAGATTTGGTCTTCTGTACTTTTACAGCTCCCTTTGCTGGAAGACTGCCAGCCATTAATCTGACTTCTTATTACACTGGCTTAGGGTGGCAGTTGCAAACAGTGATTTACTCCTCAGCCTTGTCCCACTAAAAATAACACCCACTGCAGGTCTGTGTGGGAAGCAGGCACAAACAACCACAAACAATCGTGGCTGAATCTGGCCCTGTCTCTTAAATGTTTCTTAGGGAGCAAACTGCTCTTGGCTGCTACTTAAGAAGCATTAAATTAGTATTTTTTAATGAGGTTTCTAAGATTGTGGGATTTTTATTATGAATGAGTTTGTGTGATGGAGAGAAAAACATTGTACAAGTTGTAGCTGATGGCTTCTCATTTGCTTCTGAACTTGTTCTTTTTGATTCTTCATAAACAGTAGCATAAACAGTGAAGGCTGGGTTTTTTTATTTTACCTCATTTTTATTTTAGGTTCTGTGTACAGTTACATTTGACTCTCTAGAATCGAGTGTAAAATCAGATGTTATCTCCACAGCAGTGAGGTATGTATATCTTGGTGCTTTGGCAGTAGTAACAAGAGGGTGTGCATTTAAACATATTTGATAAAATTCCCATGAACTTTGACATAGATACTTTTTTAGGACTGAAAAATGTGTAAAATTAGACTTTGAAGTGGCCTGTTTTCCAGAGATCATGGCAATGGGTTTTTGTTAGGGTGACATTAATTCCAAAGCATACATTTCAAACTGGACTGTTACAAGTAACATCCAGTCTGGTTTATATATTTCATATATTCACAAATATATTTAATATTTGTGGAAAATTTAACTTAGGATGTAGCAAGCTGGTCCTCGAGCTTTGAACACTTTATTGCTGAGGGCTGAAGTGAAATTCATCTGCTTTAAAGCCACATTTCAGTGATGTCACCCCAATGATTTCATCCCAATGTGGGAGCTTTTGCATTTTAATGTCTCAGCTTTACTGTAGCTAAATCTTTGTTACCCTGGAAGAGTTTGTCGGTATTCTCTAATTTTGGTAACTGTGAGTGATCAGCAAATCTATTGATTTGTTGGTTTTGGCTGGGTCCATTTGTAAGCATAACAATATTAGTTTGAATTACCAGTTGTGTGTAAAACATGTTTGGTTGCTCCTTTTTTGACATCATCTTGTTTTTAATTAATAGTGGAATAAAAGATAAAAACTTCATGCTGCATTATGAGGTGAGACTTTTCCTGTGTTACAGCTTTCTGCATGATTCACAGAAGGGCTTCATATCTTGCTTTTAAAGGTGCAGCTGATCACTTCCAATATTATAAATTAGCTCTAGCTTTGCTAAAATGTATTTATGCTAATTCATGCATGAATTTATATGAGCAGAAGTGCTGGTTTCCTGAAAAGCACTAGGTAACTTGTAAATTGCCATTTTATACAGGCTTTTTAATGGCATAACATTAAGTGAGCTCCTTCAGAACAGGTTCTTACTGAAAGCAGGAATAACCTGTGCCATTATTTTTAGTAAACTCTATTAATATGTTCAGCTGACGTGGCACAGCAATAGTAAATAAATGCTTTTACATCTTGGATCTCCCTCAGCCTTTGGAGCTTGCCCTAAGTATTTCCTACAGGCAACAGGCAGATCTTGTTCCATTATCTCTGTGACAGAAATAACATTTCTGCTAGGTTGTTTGACAGGTTTCTTTGGAGGAAGCTTCTCGTGTTCTGTCTTAGCTAGCTTGCTTCTACTTTATTCTCTTTTGTCCTGTGCAAGTAAAACATTTACTAAACATTACCTAAACTGGTCCTGGCTTGCAAGCCAAGTGACTGATAGAAGTCATGTGGTGGTTAGATTATTTTGTTTTTAATGTATTTTTTACCTTGAGATGCACCAAAACTTCAAAGATCTTTTTCTAAGTGTATGTTTTAAAATGGAAATGCAGGTTAATTTTCTGTGTACACATTTTTTTGCTTCATAGTTTCCACCTTATGCAACCAATGAGATTGGCAAAGTTACTGGGATGAACAGAAGAGAACTTGGACATGGTAAGTCCAGACTAGAGAAATCCCATGCTGGAAGTTCCAATATTTTATCTGTTTTTTATTTATGGATCACTTAGTGGTTGTTTTGGGTTTTTCTTTGAACAGGTGCACTGGCAGAACGAGCTTTGAAACCAGTTATACCCCAGGATTTCCCATTCACAATCCGAGTTACTTCTGAAGTCTTAGAATCAAATGGTATTGGGATTTTCTCATTTTTAACCTAGTGCTGAAAACTAAATTTGGTTCTTAAAAAGGTTAGGTTTGACAAACTTGATTTATAGGCATGCTAAATAATAGATTGCTGTTTAAATGTTCTTAATAATAATTACCTGAAATATTTAAGGGTACGTGTTCATGAACAATGGACCTTTCTTGGTTTAATAAAATGGTATTTTGGGGCACTTTTATGCTACAGGATGAGGATAATAGCTCTAGCTTGTATTGAGACCCATGTTTGAGTGTTTAATCCCTGTTTTTTTTCCTGTAATCCCACTCCAGGGTCCTCCTCAATGGCTTCTGCGTGCGGTGGAAGTTTGGCACTAATGGATGCAGGTACAAAACAAGGCACTTGCAAGGATAAGCTGCACGTGATAATGTGTTACAGGGTCTGGAAATGCGCAAAGGCTTCAAAAATGTGGGTTTTTTTGCCATTCCTAGGAGTTCCAGTGTCAAATGCAGTGGCAGGTGTAGCCATAGGCCTCGTTACCAAGTGTGCTCAGGGCAAAGGGGATATCGAGGACTATCGCCTGCTGACAGACATTCTGGTGAGTGTTCCTCACATTGTTATTGTTGCTGCTTGCTGCTGAAAAATACCCCTTTGGGCCTTCTTTTGTAACCTTTTGCCCAGTCAATTCTGGAACGTGGCTCCTGGAAAAATTAGTTGCATCTTTTCTGTTTCATCTCCCAAATTCTTCCCTTATTTTGAAAAATTTTTATGAAATGTCCAATTGTGTTTCTTATTTTTTGTGTTATTAGTTATTTAAGCATTCATAAGCTTTCTCCTTCCCATTAATGTTGTCTTTTCTCATGGGAGAAAAAGATGAATAATTTACTGAAAAATACAATATATTGGGTGGAGAATGAGCACTTGGAAGAGTGGCTGGGGAGCAAAATGTGCAGCCACTGAGAGCACAAGATCAGCTGTGGATCAGAAACTTGTCCACAAAAGCTCTTAATTTCCAAGGAGAGAAAGGAACAGAGTTAATCCTGAGCAGCAAAATAAAGCTGGAAATCTCAAAAGTAATTCCTCTTTTGGTATAGTGGGATAGAATGACTCCAACTTGGTTTTGTCTGTCTGTGCTGGCAGGGAATTGAGGATTACTATGGAGATATGGATTTCAAGATGGCAGGCACCAGTAAAGGGATAACAGCACTGCAGGTATTGTGACATGAAACATCAGATCAAGTGAAGCTCTCAGAGAGTATTAGAAGAGCTTTCCTGACATGTTGATGGCACTTAATTTTTCTCAGGTTGATCTCAAGCTGCCAGGAATACCAATAAAAATTGTGGTGGAAGCTATTCAGCAAGCTACAGGTAGGTCTGTTCTTGGATTTACACTCATTTTATCATATTAAATGATAAAGGGTTTTATGTTTTATGAAACTAAATAATAAACTATTCATTTTTTGTTCTCATTGTGGAAAAAAACCAAGCTTCTATCTTTATGAAATGGGTTTGGCTTAATCAATAAGCTCCAAACTAACTTCAAAGTAACTTCAGCCATTGCATGATTTGGACTAAACCACATTACTTGTCTTTGTTTAAGTGCAACAGGATAATGTTATAAAAATAACAGCAAACTTTCTCTCATTCCACATAAATTCAGCTATATTTACAAGTGAAACTTGCTGCCATCTGTATTCTGACATGTGCAGCTAAAATATTCTTGAAGCACATGAGAAGATGAAGCTACATGGTTTAACAAGGATTTTATGAGTTGGAAAACTTCCAGCCTGACATTCTCCAGCTAGGCAGGAGACAGGTTTTGATAAGGAATGTTTTTCTACTGCATAACAAAAACTTCATACATTTATTTTAATCATATACAAAATTACTGATTTTATTATTATTCCCTCTAGCTGCAAAGAGGGAGATTTTACAAATTATGAACCAAACACTGTCAAAACCCAGACCTAACAGAAAAGAAAGTGGACCAGTTGTAGGTAATGTTATTGTGTGAATTCATAGCTTTCATAATTATCTTTTTAACAATGAACTTCTGCTTAAAATAGCTTTTTTTTTCCCTAATGATTGATTTTTATATATTTTTGCCGTTGCCCTGTGGAGATAATTTGTGGAGGGGTTTTGGTTATTTTTGGATATTTTGGGGGGATTTTTATTGCCACGTGGGGTAGCACTTCAATTTCAGCATACACCAGAAAACAATTTAAGTGATGTGAAGCTCTCACAAAATCAGAATTGATATAGATCAGAGTATCAGTATGGCTTCAGGTAATTTACAGTCATCAGAGTGTACTCTGTGTCTTCATTTCTTTCAGTTCTTACCTGTAATTACATCCCTGTTCTGCAAATACCACAGGTAGCTGTAAGAGATTAAAGGAATGTGCCTTTTTGTGTGATAGCTTTCAAGATGATTATATTTAGCACTTCAAAGGATTTCTAAATGTTCTTTCAGAAACTATCCACGTTCCATTATCAAAAAGATTAAGATTCGTTGGTCCTGGGGCTTATAATTTGAAGAAGCTTCAAGCTCAGACTGGTGAGACATTCTTGATCCCTGTGATAATTCATCCTCGTGTGTTTCCCTTTGTTTCAGACTTGAATGCTGAGCTGTTTCAATGCTCAGTGCAAACTGAAAATGAAAAAATTCTGCTATCTGTAGAGTACAGGTAGATGCTTTGCTTTGGACCTGAAACCCTTAATGCTCTGGTGAACTTGATTAATGCTTCTCAGGGATTAGGGTGGAGAAAAGGAGGAAAAATCTTACTTCCTTTTGGTTGAAAGCCTATGTGGTCTGGCCACAGAACTCTAGAAGGGCAAAGAATTTTACCATTGTGACTCCAAAACACTTTCATTTCCCTCAGCTATTAATGCAAGTATTATTTAAAATCTCTGGGAAATTGATTCATAACCCTTAACGTTTATTCAGGATTTTTTTTCCCCCACTCTTAAAGGATTATAAAATTAATTTTGTGTTCCTTTATGGCCCACAAATTTTTCGAGGTATTTGCAAGGAGGTGGTGACCATATGAAATTGTTCAATGCCTTAATTAAAGAAAACTAAATAGTGATTAGAAATCTGAAGTCTTAATGAGTGTGCCAAACCACTGTGCTCTGAGCAAGTCTTTACTGAGCGTGTCTTTTCTGCGCTGTGCCCCTAAGTGCTGTCCTAAATCCCCATTTTCAGGAGTGACTGTAAGTCAGCTGGATGAGGAGACATATTCTGTGTTCGCCCCCACGCCGGGGGCAATGCACGAAGCCAGGGAATTCATCGGGGAAATCTGCAAAGATGATGTAAGGACAGACTTCTGCCTTCAACTTCTCCAGTTTGCTCTTTGTGACTTTGTGTCTTACTGGTTTCTTCTTTTTGCTTTCCACAGCAAGAAGTTAATTTGGAATTTGGGGCAATTTATACAGCCACAATTACTGAAATAAGGTATAAAAAGTGCTTTGGAGTTGAAATTCATTTACTTTCATAGCTGTATTCCTGATACCTAAATATGAAGTAAAATAATAATTGTTTTTTTTAGAATGCCAAGCTTATGCTGGGGATATTGGCACCTGCACCATTTTTGATACTTTTTCTGGTGAAAATATTTTGTTTCCTGATAAAGTTGTGGTTTTTTTGCTGTTTGTTAGTTTTTGGAATGTCTCTAAATCATACAACTTAAAGCCTTTTTCATCTGTGAATCTGAAAGTTATGGTATGAATTTGCTTTCTGCTTTTCATCACAGTATTTGTCTTGTAAAAATTACATTTTGGATAATACCTATTACTGAAATACTGCACTGAAATAAGAAATTCTCATCCACTTCCAGTTAAGGAAAAATGAGTGGACATGTTAGGATGGATAAAAGATTAAGTTTATGAATGCTTGCTTTGGGGACCATATGCAGAGTGAAATGTGGACTTTTCTTGATGCACTTGGAAAATAACTGTGCTGTTTCCTGCTGCAGAGATTCTGGAGTGATGGTAAAACTCTACCCAAACATGACCCCAGTATTACTTCATAATTCACAGCTGGATCAAAGAAAGGTAACCCATCCTTAAACAAGTATTAAATGGGAAATTAGATTTATTTTTAACCAGTTGGCATAGCTGTAACACACTTAGTGTTGTTCCACATTTCCAGCTTAATTAGCAGCACTTTTTTTGTTCTAATTCTTCCTGCCCTGACTTCAAGCTGCAAAGAATCAACTGTGTGACTGCTGCAGTGGTTTTTACACCAAGTTATTTGGCTCTGCAATGCTTTTTTCCATGCAATGTTCAGAAACCTGTTGTTCCTAAGGTACTGCTGAGCCACTGGGCTGAAGTGTAGCATGAAGAACCCCTGAAAGAAGGGATTTTTAGAACAAACTCTGATCATTTTCTTTCTGAAAAACACTGTTCTAGATTAAACACCCTAGTGCCCTGGGATTAGAAGTTGGACAAGAAATTCAGGTAATTATTTTTTTAACTTTAAAATGCTAATGAAATGCTGTTTGTATTTTAAAATATTATTTTTTTTTCTAATTATATATTTTGTGTTTATGAAGAAGATATTTTTCCATATTGGATTCCCTTTCTGTGCTAGTTAAAGCCCTGATCATTCAAATTAGATTTATTTAAAATCATACTCTTGCTATCTAGGCACCACATAATTTGACAGAAATATAGGCTAAAGGATGCCTATTTATGGCTTTTCTAGCATCAAATTGATAAAAACTCAAACCCAACCCCCCCCATCTTTTAAGGAAAATGCTATTTCCAGCCCTTGAAGTTGCCCAGTGTGAAAGTGCTTTGTTTCCTTACCAGGTTAAATACTTTGGCCGTGATCCCACTGATGGCAGAATGAGGCTTTCACGTAAAATTCTGCAGTCCCCAGCCAGCAGCACCCTGAAAACCCTGACAGACAAAAACAGCATTGTCCTGGGAGGGGCTGTTCCACAGACATCCACCTCATCCCAGTGACAGGTAAGGCCAGCAGAGCAGCTTCAGCTGACTCAGGGCTGCACTTCAGCTCTGCCAAAGACTTGTGGCGGTCTGGGTTTGTACTGAGCAGTTACCCCTCAGTGCTGTGCAGGCACTGCTTGCCAGCTCTGTTGGAGCTTGTTGGGAGTTAACAACTGGCCCTTCACACGCTGGAGCTGGAGAAAGTTTGATGTTACAAAATTGGTTTAAATGCCTTGACAGTCTCAGGCAGTCTGGACAGCCCCCTCTGTTCAAAACAAACTTAGTTGTTCATCTCCAGCATCTTTTCTCTCTATTTTTTTAAAGAAAAAAAACCCAAATAGGGTATTGGAAGAGAAGAAAAAACAAGCTGCTCTCTTGATTAGTGGAGAAGATTTCAGTCAATTAATGAAGTAGCCGAAGCTCTTCCTTAGAAGTAGTTTTCCAGCATGTATTTGACTGTCAGAAGGCTTATGCCTCAACTTTTCCCAAAATTTGTGTGGGTTTTCTTGTTAGAAAGCTGCTAGAGCAGGAAGGTGTCTGATGTTAAAATCAGGAGCAGTTACACAGCAAGGCTGGCAAATGCACAGTGCACCAGTGGGAACTCAAGGCAATCTCTGGCAATCTTCAAGGAATGATTGACGGCACAAAAAGAAGGGAAAATTCTGAAGAAATCTTGGTTTTAAGGAATGTTTTTGCATCTCATACCTTGATATAATGAGTTGGTTACAAAAATGTTTTCTCTGTTTCAGGAAAAAAGGCGTGATAGTTGGTGAAAGTACAAGTGACCTTTGCTAGAACCTCTACATGTCCTCACAAGGATCTGCAGGTGGATGGTAGTGAATCATATTTATAAAATAGACACCATTTATGCTTAAAGGCGATATAGAACTTCAAAGCCTTCAAATAGATTAAAAACTTTAAAATAAAACCAGAAACAAGCAATTCCCTCATCTTGTGTAGCAAGGTTGAGATGAGAATAGAAGAACACGGAATTCTACAGACTGAGATGATACTTCAGTGCTAAAGATTATTCTCTTTTGAGTTATCCACGCAAAATAAAACTGTGAATATGAGAAGTAAGAACTGAACAAGTCTTTTGTGGGAGAAGGAATTATCCTGTACACTTGGTCAAGAGTCACACTTGGCCAAGGTTTTCCTGGCTTTTCAGTGTACAAGAATGTTGAGTAAGACATAAAGACTTCAAAGTATCACCTTTAACAAGATGGATGCTGATTTAGAATAATACATCACTCTCAAAAGGCTCAACCTGCTGCAATATCTGAGCAGAACTTGGCTGAAACATCACCCCTTATCACCTGGGTTTGTTAGCACTGACTTTTAAAATACATAATTAAAACATTAAAATACTTTGTTTTGGACTGAACAATCGAGGTGATAAATCTTCCCCTAAACCACCCTCATTAAGTGTATCTTAATCCCTCTATAAATTATGTTGCATCAGTGAGTTCACTGATCTCTTTTAGACTTCAAAACATTTTCCAGGGGCTTATGAGAATTACTCGTTTTTCTACTGTGAGGTACAGACTTTGAAAATCAAACAGGGTCCTTGTGATGTTCACCAATATGTATGCAGAACTAATACAACTTCCTACCTGATGGCAAGTGGGCTCTGAACCACCTGAAAGAAAAAAAAGCATTGGGGAAGAGGAGAAATGGGAATGTACAGTAAAAATTACTTCTTTTTTTATTCTAAGTTAAAGTATTAAAGAAGAAAGAAATGACTGGTATGCTGCTCTGTAGTTGTCTCTGTCTTTTGTAATGTAAGATTGAAAAACTGAAAAAAGTTTGGAAAGATTGAAGAAAGATTTCCTTGGCAATCTTTTCCTCCTCTTTGAGGGCTGTGTCTTATTATTTCTTAGTAAGAATTCAGATGTCACTTCTTACTGTGACAGTTGACTGATATGTGATTGTTACATATGAATAGTGTTAATAAAATGATGTAGGTCAGTGTTAAAGTCCCTGAACAGAATCTCAGATGTTGCCATTTCTGGTAACTCTGCCTAGAAATGGAGCACCCCAATGGAAGTGGTTTTCCCAGGTTGAGCTCCCTTTATTGTACAGGAATTTCTGAGAGGCTGTGTTATGGAGCTGGTCTCAGTAAAGCAGCTACTGCAGTGCTGGGGCATTGTCTGTTTGGTAGGTGATGATAAAGGAGCAAAATGACTTTAATGTTGCTGTGGCAGAACCTGTACAGTCAGCCTGGCTTTCTGCATCTGGAACCAGCTTTAGGCCCTATGGGAAGGGGCGGGGGAAGAAGACATTTGGGAAGTGGCTGGGAGGAGCAGAAAGCAGCTGCTCTTACCTGGGGAGAGAAGCTCAATGGGAGCCAAGAGTTGAGAAAGCCTGTGCTACTCTGACCCTTCCTGGAGGGAAGGACATCCTGGGCTCTCAGGTGGGATCAGCTATGATCAGAAACCAGGTGGGTCCAAAGGGCTCGAGGAAACAAGCTCAGTCCTTTTGCAACAGATGGTTTTTTGTGTTTGAAACATGATTTGTTTCTTCTTTCTTAACTGCTTAACATAATTAGCTTCTGTAATGACCTGCCTTAAATGGAGCCATTGAAAGGAATTGCCTTGGAGAGTGAAGCTGGGCAGGTGCAGCATTGCAGCAACTCAGAAGGGCCAGAAATGCCTTTTTTTGACAAGTCTGAAGTTTTCATGCAGGTGCAGAGAGGCAAGAGCTGGAGTATCTTTAAATGCCAGCAATAAATATTACAAGTGCCATCATGAAAGTATAAGAGCTGGCCTAATTGTATTTCTGGGATTTACCTGCCAGAGGGAATGATACAGTCTTAACTTCACTCCAAGAAATTTGAAGTGATTTAGGAATAAGTTGTCTGTCTTGCTTGGGAAAACAAAAAAAAAGGAGCTCTCTGCTGCTCATGTTGTGACACTTGTGAGTTGGTCTGTCTGCTGTCTACCCTAATGAAATCCTTTGTTTTGGTGAAGAACAGAGAATTCTCAGCATTGATAACCTGATGGTGGTAATGGGGAAGGATGAGCTGCTGGCAGGTGCAACACCACAGTGGAAAATGTTGCTTTGCTTTCTGTGCATCTTAAAGAGCAGATGCTTTCCTGGTCTTAGCCTGGGTTTAAATCCAGTAGTTAACGTTTGTTGGGCCAAGTATTGTGTGTCTTGTTCAGGGAAAGCCCCCAGAATTGACTTGCTGGTTGTGGGTACAGGTGGCAGGGTTATGCTGGGCTCTACAACAGCTGGATGCTGTTTTGGGCAAAGAGAAGCCCCGCATCTGAGTGAGTGCAATCCCAGTGTGTTCTGGAGTGGTATTTCTCCACAGAGGTCATAGAGTTCATGCCAGGAGAGATCGTGGATTTGTTTTACAGCTGAAGCATGAGAAATAGTTTTTCATGCCAATTCTAATTCACATATCTCCTTTCTGTAGCTATTCGCCATAAGAATTTGCTCCAAAATACTCTGTTGTGGTTTCTTGCTGTTTTATATATCCCAAGAAGTGCTGCATTTAATCATGAGTAGAAGTCATGCTTTTATTTTTGTGCATTTGGTTTGAAGAGCCACAAAGCACGCACAGAAGTCGTGCAGAGGGGAGAGAGAGTTCATGAGCAGCAGATGTCCTGAGGCAGAAATATGCTGTGGCCATTAGGGTTTGTGTTTCTTTTTGTGTGTTTGCTTTTTATTGAGCTTTCTCTAAGGTAGAAATATGCTCAGTGTATAAAACTTTGAGAGGAAAGGCCACTAAAACGTAGCAGGGAAGGTTTGTGTGGTACCTGACTGTAAATTGGTTTGTGTGACTCTCAGTCCAGGATTTTGAAACCACTTAATGTGGTCCTTTTATAGTTACTGACTCACTTATCCATAATGATGCACATGTCCCAAAGTGTGCTCCTAAACAGCTAAATATAAGTAAATAAGATAATTCTCTGAGGTGTATCTTGTATTTTCTTGGTGACTGTGTGATGAATCTTACGAGGCCTGCTACAATGAACATCAAAGGAAAAGCTGAGACTTGAGTGTTACTTAGATATTTTCTAAATCTGCCCAGAGAATGTTTGGAAAAGTTGCACATAGTTACTTAGAGTGGCATAGTTTGTTGGAAACACTTTCTTTCCCTTCCTCTGGGTCGACATTTGAACTTGAGAGCAGGGAAATGGCAGTCGTGTGAACAAGAGCCATACTGGTGTGACTGCTTTTACCGTGAGGCAAGAGCCAGGAAAGTCTGGCTTCGTCTGGGAATGAGGCACACCCTGGCCTCAGGAGAACCCGTCCTCCCTCCTTCCCCTTCACAGCCTCAAAAATTGAGCTCGGAGTCACTTTCAAACTTCCCCTCGTCCCCAATTTCCCGCTGTTTCACACAGCTTGACTCCTTCAATGCTTTTGCATCTTTCTTCCCTATTCCCACACAAGCACGGAGATGTAATTATTTTTCTATTTGTAGTACAGACGAAACGTGTAGATGGTGTTTAGTGTGGAAAACTTAAGATTTACAGGCTCCACGATGCTTGGCAAGTGGTCTGTCTTAAATTGTACGCTATGTGTAAGGATTAATTAAGCACGTTTCCTCTCATCTTTGAAGTGAAGTTTAGCTTTCGAGCCTTCTGTGGAAATGTACGAAGCAGGCACAGACTGCACTATACAGTCTGGCTGTTGTTTGAAGATATGCCGCTCACTAACCTTTCTGCCGTTTTGTGATGCAAGGGATACCTTTCCGTCATAAAAATTGAAACTATGTTTCATTTGCGTGCGCTGTTTAAATTTACTCTGTCCGGGGTGTGGAGCTCGCCCGTCATTTTGTATGACGGCGGTGGGTGGCACTTTCTGTGGCGTGAGGAGGAGAGGGGTCTGTTTCGTCAGCGGTGGCACCAGCTTTTAGACAGACTTTAAAAATAAAACGAAAAGAGGGAAAAAAAAAAAATAAGGTTTTTCTGGGAAACATATGAGCCATTCCCCCTTGTAGCCGCCTTGGACGTTAAAAGGCAGCGATGCTAAAAGGCAGCGATGCGCTCACACCCCTCCCCCGGGGGTGA